GATGCATAGACTTATATAAGAAATATATACAAGTTTATATAAGGCTGCATAGGATGCATATATGCATAGTATGCATAGACTTATATAAGAAATATATTCAAGTTTATATACAGCTGCATAGGATGCATAGATTCATAGAATTATATAAGGAAATATATAAAAGTTTATACACGGCTGCATAGGATGCATAGATGCATAGAATTATATAAGAAGTATATACAAGTTTATATACAGCTGCATAGGATGCATAGATGCATAGACTTATATAAGGAAATATATACAAGTTTATATACGGCTGCATAGGATGCATAGATGCATAGACTCTTATAAGAAAATATATACAAGTTTATATACTCCTGCAAAGGATGCATAGCATAGATGCGTAGACTTTTATAAGAAATATTATTATTCAAATCTTTATTGGGTCAAATGTGAGACAGAAATTAGCAATAATGATCACAATTAATTTAATAAGATTAAAAACTATTTAGTTCAGATTAAGTAGCGTTTCACTAAATAATATAATTAAATACATTAGAGTTAAAAAGTTTGGTATGAATATTAGTATTAATGACAAATGATTCTCAAAAAAGACTAGAACTAGGAATTATGAGCTCAAAATCAGTAATGTAAAAAAATTTAAAATAAAAATCTTTTGTAAAATAAACATTTTAATCACATGGGGCGACTAAAACTTTGTCAACTTTGGCCTGTGGTAATTTGGGCTTTAATCCATTTTCAAAACACCACATGGTATAACGATTTCTTGCCTTCACAAGACAATGCAAAAAGAAATGATGATGTCGCTTGTTCATAGAGTTCAAAATCTTTTTGAATTTACCCAACCAGATAAAAGTTTGTTCAGCTGACTCGGTATTGGGATGATCAAAAGTTTCCCGTAATTGTTGAACAACTTTTGGATAATTTTGCCTACAAGATTCTCTGACATGGTTCTAAAATTTAGACTTAATAGAATGGTCTACCAACCACTTAATTGTCTAACAATGTTTTCATAAAATAAAGTTGTAAAATCAATATTTTAGATAAAGCTCATACGCAGTAATTGATTAGACTATTCTATTAAGTTAACTTGATATGCAGGGCATCTACTCCTTTTGTAATATTATTAAACACAGAAATGCCTTTAGAAGATATATATAATTTGTAGGTATGCAGCTGAGACATAAAACATTGTTCTAAGAATTCAATATGTATTAAGAGAGTCTACACTCTACAGTCCCTTTAATTATAAATAATTTTCTAAATTCCTAGTTTAGCCTCAGATGTTAACTGGGATTGATCACAGTCCCAAAGCTTTAAACGTTCAAGATTACACTTAATTATGATTGAATTTTTGTTTCTAAAATCAATTTGAAAAAAACCATTACAATTTAAGATCAAAGACGCAAAAATCCAACCATATTATCGTAAAATAAAAATTTATCATCTATATTTCTGTATTCCTTTAGATAAAGCTCACAGTATTTAATTGTTGGAATTGCTACTTGCGATTTACTTTCAGATTTGTATAAAGGTGACCAATTTCTAATTATTCCGCCAGAAGTAACAAAAAATAAGTGCCCCCTGGAATGGACATTCATGGTTACCAATCCTGTGGTGTCCTTATTGCAATCTTTGTTTGTATCCAGATTTTTTTCAAAACTATATGAGTCTTTCATTGCAGTAGATCTTAAAATTCGATCAGTGCCAGTGGCTTCCCCTACAGTTTCAGATGTAACCTTGATTTTTTCTGAGATTTTTTCTAGAAAATCGTTTTTCTTCTTTCTATCAGAGATAGTGTAAGCATCAACATTACACCCTGGATACTTCAAGAAACCACGCAAATCCACTGGAATACCTGAAAGCATTATATAATAATATTTATATAATATATAATGAATATAAGTACATTGTACAGTATAATATTTTACATAAAAGCAATGAATGAAAATTATAGAATATTTGAATCCTTACCTAATTTAATTATTTGTTCTCCACAATCATTACAAAAAGCTGAGCCAGGCTTGGGGCTATTAGTGCAGTTCCGAGGATATTTGTCAGTAGCAATGTATACATCCTTTCTTGGTCTAACTGCTGAGCACGTTTTGTATCTAAAAAGTAAATACTTTAGACTATGAATATTTATAAGGTTTTAACATACATACCTTATCTTCCATATACCATCCATGCTTGTACTCTTGGAACAAGCTCAAGGTTCACAAAATGGCTGACATGTATGGTCATACAGTTTATTTCATCTTGATGTATCTGCTTTGTCCATAAACGAATTAAAAGACTCTGCTTGAGATCCATAATGCATTACTATAATTCAGAGCATCTTACAAGCAAAATTATAAAATAAAAAAATGATAAATCACAACAAAAATGTTCGTTCTTGAAAAATTTTCATAGCGCACCTTGTTAAGTTGTAGACTGCTTCGGACTCCTGATAAGGGAAAAGAGATCATCACTTCACAATGTTTTAATAACAATAGATTGAATAATTATCTTTTATTCCTCTGAAATTGTCTGCAGACGTAATTTCATGTTGGAATCACAACGTTACCGATAAAAGCTCTGGGTAATCAAGTATGAAATAATATCCATGTTTATAATTCAAAAATACATTTTAAGTGGAATCAAGCATATTTGAGACGCAGTTTAAATTTAAGCTGCCGCTCAAATTCTTTAAATTCAGCCTCTTGCCCTTTAACAATTCCAAATTCGTTATATCTTTTAAAATCTCCCTACCTCGTATACCATCTATTATAATTAGTTCATATTTAATGAAAGTAAATTTCTAAATGGTTGGTTCGAACACATTTTCGAGAATACAACCGGTTCTTCAAAACAAACAATTTTGTCAAACGAACTTTAAAAATCGATCGATGTTTTACTGAACGAACGATTTACTGAACAAACTCTTGAAAAAACGAAAGTTTTAATTTATCCAACGATTCACAAATGGCGTAAATTTTACATTTTCTGACGTCTATTTTTGAGAATGTCGATTTTATTTTGAAAAAATAACATTATCTTTTTAAAATAGTTTTTCAAATACATCAGAGTGTCAATGTGGGCATTTGTTTAAGGGGGGAGGAGCTGTTTTGGGTTTAAAATTCTGTGTTAGATAAGAATTCTAGAATGAAATTTTAAAATATCGTATCTTTCTGTAATTATATCATTCGTACCATTTTCAAACAATTTTTTTCCAAATTTCCAATTTTATCAATCCTTGGGGAGCCCCCCGGCCACCATCCCACGTCACACCACGTGAAGAGAGCTAGTTAAGAGCCTTTTAGATTTTCATAATTTCCAGACTCCAAATTATTTATATCAATTTCTATTTTGTCTCTCCCGTCAAATTCTCTACTCTCTAGTTGTTTTACCATTAAACTAACTCATATTGGCAGGAATATATCACTGCACTCTGTCACGCTGATCTAGCATTTCGGTCCTTGTCCCAGCAAGAAATGACTTTCGTTCACAAATGGACACCACCAAACATATTTTATTCGTTTACATTTTTTGCGTTTTAAGTGAAAAAAAATAGACAGCTTTGTCAATTTAAAGGTTATTGGGTTATAGAGCTGAGAACATTAGTCTTTCTTTCCGTTTAGTTAAATTAAAGAGACGCATAGGCCAATCAAGTATCTGTTTGTGCTTAACCAATCAGAGGCGCAACTAGTGGGGGGGGGAGAACCCAGTTTCCTCCCACTCTCACCCCCCTCCCCCCCTCACTTGACTCCAGCATGATCATTATTGTGAACCATCTTCAAATTTTGCCAATTAAGAAGAAATAACAAAATTTTTCTTTGGCTCTTTGCGCATCATTTCTAAAAGAATATCTAACTATTTTCTCGTTTTCGCCTTAAAAAAAGTCAGTCAAATTCTAAATTCATCCTCTCTAAAAAAACTGTATTATAGAGGACGTGAGGACGGTATCTAGTAAAACGCAAGAATAAATGCCAGAATATTTTTTCATAACTTAACAGTGAAGTATTTTGATAAGATTTATTATATAGTTATATGAATCAGGGAACAGCCCCTTAACATGCCTTTTGATTGAGAAGAGATGTTGGCTTCTCCCCTGGGTAGATGATGATACCAGAGTCTGGATACCCGTGCTTCTCAGACCCCTCTACGGCAGTACTACGGAGATCTTCATTAGGTTCACACCTTGAGAGGTTCCCTGTAGCGTACTACCTGATGAATCCTGATGCCGCTCTATTCTACCCGAACTGTAACTTTGAGGAGCCGTCTATCTTGATGTCGGAGATGCATGAGGAGCCTGCAACCCGAGACTCTGGTGCTCCTGCCGCTACCCTGCATAGTGTTGATCATCCTCTAATTGCTGTTCCTGTTGTACAACATATGGATGGAGGAGATCTACAACAGCTCGTCCCTGAGCACAGGGGATGTGAATCCCCGTGTCCGGACTTGGACGAGGATGAATCTCCCCTAGAGATGGATGAGACTAGCCTCAGCTCCGAACCGTTCTCCCATCCTCTTCAGAGTTTGGAGTCTGTATGCGACCTGACAAGGTCCCTGGACCTGGAACGGATCCGCCTGAGGAAATCCATGGCCCAGAGGAATGGCCTCCGAGCTGATCTACTCCAGCATGTGAAGAGTATTCTAGATACTCTGGATGATGACCTATATCTCCTTTACCAAGCTCGGTATCATCTAGATGATCTTATCAAGGGATTCTCAGAATCCCGCCCAAGGGATCAGACATCTTCAGCTCTTTAGAATCCAACCTAGTAATAATAATGTGATTAGTATTGTATTTACTCATGTTCTTAATAATAATAAGGTTACATAAAACTCTACTTTTGATCATTTAATTATAACTTATTTACGTCTGAAAGAGTAAAGACAAAGTAAGGATTATCTTTGATTGTTCAGATCACAACAACAGGTTTATGTGAATCAAGCCTAACTTAAAAGGCTTAGTAGAACTACTACAATGTTTACATATCACACGTGAAGACTAAAAGTTAAATGCCTCATACGAATCCTCTTTGCTCAGGTTTTCTCTTTGAAGTTGTGGAACTCTCTTATAGAATATCATATAAGATTAAGGGAACACAAAACCTGACAACCTAAGAAGAATATCAGAAATAATAAGGATTATATTTATCAAACTATTAGGACTTTTGCAGACTATATAAGTGGAAAACAGGAAAACAAGCACAGTGGGACTTCGATCAGAAAGACTATTATGGAATATGGACAGACGTAAGATAGTCAAGTACTGCCAGAAACTACTTACTACTTAGTACTGCACAGACGTACGTTAAGGGACCATATAATGGACAAAACTGCCCTAGACTGTAACATCGGACTTTATAAACATAGTGAATATGACTAAGCCAGGAACTAACAGACACTAAGAAATACATGAAAATACACTATATAGAATAACAGAAATTTGTTGTCGCTTTGCACATGTTTAATTAATTTACTCATGTCATTCATTTTAAAGTAGTTGGAAGTATATTTTTCGTTTTTTCCGTTTGTTTATAAATTATAACATGTTTAGTCTTCCATACCTTCTTTATATTGCTTATAACAGTTTTTTTCTTTATCCATAATTTTCTTTTTTCTTCATTCACTGTGAACCTTTTCTTGTTTTGGTCCTTTGTACAGCTATAAGTCACATTACACTTCCAAAATGTTTTTTACCCCCACCCCACCCCCTTCCACCTCCCCTTCCTTTCAAGACAGGGGCGGATACAGGGGGGGGGCGGGGGGACATTCGCCACCCCCTGGCGGAGCCCCCCCCTGAATTTGGAATTTTTTGTTCCTATTTTCAGAATATCTTCTCTATAGCATGCTTAAGGGAAAGAAACCCTAGTGCAAAACAGGAAAAAAATATCTGTCTTAATAAACTATAATGTGTGAAAAGTTAAAAATCTAGTTTTTTATTCTTTAGCCATTAATTTTGACTCTTTTTGAGTCTTTTAAGCCAAAAAATTTTCGCCTGCAGCGCGATTTTTTGTTCCTAATTATGAATTTTTTTGTTCCTAAAAAATCTTGCCCCCCCCCTCTCACTTAAATCCTGTATCCGCCCCTATTTCAAGAGAAAGTATATTTATATTAAATCACGAAACCCACAGTAATCCAAAGGTTTCAAGCGTTGTCACTTCTTAAAACCTAGAGCAAAAACTAAATGCTCTGAAATGTGCATGTTTAGGGCTACAAAAAAAATAAAGTAAGTTAGTAAGGTAAAATCTAATTAAAGTTGACCCAGACGTCTGGATGTACGTGAACCAGGTTTGACCCCAGAACCAATTATGGTCGAGTATCCTTGGATCAAATGATAATATTTCGCAAAGCACACAGTTTAATCCCAAACAACCCGTTGGTGCAAAAATTATAAACATAAAATGTTACATTTTTTGCATTAACAAAACTCTTTTTCGCATTATTATATTATTAGTCTTGTTTCCCATTCTCAATCACGTGAAATGCAAGAACTCGCTTTTATAACTCCTAAAGGGTTTGTAAACGTAATCTTAAGTGACTCTCTATTTCTAAAGTATGCCTGGTTCACAGTTCAGTTACTGTCTGAATTAAACACATTTTTGAAGTTAGATAAGTACGATGTTATCGCGCTGAAAATGGTTTCAATGCCGGGTACCAATTTTAAACAGGTATGCCCCTTTATAAATGGAGGGTCAATTCATCAAAATGACCTTTTATAAATTTATATTTTGAAGGTGCAGTCTAATTTTGACAAATGTTTCTCATTTAGCGTGTTCTTGTCATAATTCTTACATAGCTAATTAATACTCATTCATTCCACCCCTCTCTCTTGCAAACTTAAATTTGAAAACCTTCAACCGCAGTTAGCTTTTCTTTAAAGAAGCATTTTCCTTGGTGACATTGTTTCCATGCCCCCCCCCCCCTCTCTTTACAATATGATTTAGAGACAAAATATTAACGTGCCCCGTGTAATTCACTCTTTATAAGACCAACTCGTTCATAAGAATAACTAATGCATGTGTTCGGTTTCTTTCAGTTGAATTCAATCCAGTTTTGGTCTATAATTTAACACTCTTAGTTTAAACTT